ACGCAGGCTCTGGTCCACTGCCACTGGCCCACAGAGGAGGGTCAAGTGTTTGCAGGGAGCAGGACACTAGCTTCTTGCCCTCTCCACGAGGGACCAACCCAGCACCTTGCGTAGGGGGTAAAGTTGATGCCATCCCCCTTTCTGCTCTGAATGAAAACCACAAATACTCTTTTTTCCATTCACTCATTTCAGCCAATTCTTTATGCCGAATACAAGGCACTGCTGGAGATGGCCCAGTCAATGCCAAGGAGAAAAGCGTGACCTTCAATATTCCAGACAAAGGAAATAACTGCCAAAATGGACACAAACATCAGGCAAGACACAGCAGGAAGGACCCACAAAGGCCGGGTGTATGTGGTGTGTCCTGCCCTTGGGGCTGATTTATTTGACGTCTCTGGGTCAGGCTTTCTTTGAAAAGGGAACATCAGTTCTTCCTAGTCTAGGAAGCATTCTTGACAGTTACTAATGGAAATGAGCACTGAGGACCTTCAAATAAAAAGTCTTACAAAATGTAGTGCAAATAACATGGTTTTCGGGCCCTACAAGTTTTACTTCCCCAGTAAGAGGGAAAACATTATCTGAAAATCAGAGTTCCTTAGCTTGGAGAGGCTGGTGATCAAGTATTCCAACCCACTGGATTCTTCAAAAGAAAACAGATATAATCACCACCACAACACCTTAAGAAACCACCCACATGGGGCAGGTCTCTCCTTCTAATTTCTTTACTTCTCATATAAATATGAGTCTAGAAACTGTTTTGTGTACATGTGTGAATTTGCATCAAATTACATATCTTAGGTATAATTCTGCACCCTTCTTTTTAATATACAGAAAGTTGATGTGGAGCTACAGCCACAGTGGTGTGTATAAACCCATTTTGTTCCTTGTGACATCTTTGAGACTTTCCATGGAGTAATCAGACCACACATGTTTATCTACTCCCCAATTAATGGTCAGCTGGCTGTGGCCAGTCTCATGACACCCATTTGTCCAGTGTGTGCATTACAGCGCCACTCCACCTCCTGGTAATCTGCACTTAACGTAGTCCGCTTTGAACCCATCTGACCTCTGACTCAAGCATTTCCAACTACAAAATGTAGCAGACTCTAATGGCCAATTTATAGGAGGTGAAAGAGACAGAGAAACATGTCAAAGCACACCAAAAGGATGCAATCAGCAAAATCCCACAAAGATACATTATAGGATAAACTGTTTCCTTCAACAAAAATTGCTGGGAGGGGAGGGGAAAAGAGAGATAAGAGGGGAATCTTGGGTTTAAAAAAGACTTTGTGCTTCAGAGGATACCATCAAGAAAATAAAAAAAACCCACAGAATGGGAGAAGAGTTTTTATATAAATAATAGCTGATAAAGGACCTGTATCCAGAAATTATATAGGATTCTCAAAGCTCACAATGAAGAGACCCCAATTAAAAAGTAGACAAAGGGTCTGAATAGATACTTGTCCCCTAAGATGGTACATACACGGTCAAGAGCATGAGGAATGGTGCTCATCATCATTAGTCATTAGGAAAATGCAAATCAAAACCACAGACACCAATTCACACTCCCGAGAACAGCTATTATCAAAAAGATTTCGGTGAGGATGCAGAGAAACCAGAACTTTCCCCACAGTGCCCGGCGGGAATGGAAAGTGGTGCATCCGCTTTGGAAAACAGTCCAAGAGCTCCTCAAATGGACCTGGCATCACACCCAAGAGATATGAAAATGTGCCCACACGACAACCTGTGTCTGCCTGTCCACAGCAACATTATTCACACAACAATCCAAAAGTGCAAATAAGTCAAATGTGCATCAACTAACAAATGGATAAACCAAGCACAGGGCAACAATACAATGGAATATTTTGCCCCAAAAGGAATGAAGTACCTACCAATACAATACACACTGCAACATGGATGAACCTCGTAAACATTACAAGAGCAATGACACAAAAAAACGCATGTTGTGTGATTTAGTTTATATGAAATATCCAGAATAGGAAAATCCAGAGAGCATGTAGACTAGTGGTTGCCTGGGGCTAAGGGAGAGGAGTAAAAGGAACCGCTGCTAATGGGTAGGTGTTTCTTTCTGGAGTAATGAAAATGTTCTAAAATTGATTACAACACTGTGAATACACTAAAAACTTTAAAAAAAAAATTAAACTAAAAAAAAGAGTTAAAAGACAAACCAAGTTACATTGTCTAAACCTTACTTAGATCCTGAGTTTTCAAAAGCACACTACAAAATAAAATTATGAGACAATCATGGAAATTTGAACATTGACTATCTGGTGATATTAAAGGATGATTGCTAATGTCTTAGAGGTATGATAATGGGACTGAGCTGTGTCTTTGAAAAAGGGGCCCCTATACTTCAGAGATACACATTTCGTTATTTACAGATGAAATGATATAGTGATTTGTTTTAAAATAAACTGGTGTAGGGATTTGCCTCAAAATAAACTGCGGAGAGAGGCAGGGAACAGACAGGGATATAGATGAAGGCAAGAGCTGGCATTTGTTGAAATCCTGTAATGAATGGTACATGGGGTTTGTTAGATTGTCAGCTCCACTTTAATGTTTGAAATTTTCTTTAAAAAGAAGAAAAAGAGGAAGTACATCCATGCCACATTATTGCATTGTGTGCTCAACATCAATCCCACAGGTGGAAAAACCCCACTTCAACTGTGTTTTCAAGAAACGATTGAAAATACTTGGACTTTCCCGAATATCCTCAGCAACCACTTTTTCTGCCTAAATGACAATCTCTTCAAAAGAAGGCTTTCATCTTTAATGCTTTTTCCTTAAAAAACCATTTGTTGGCTCCTTTTGTCATTTTAGACCTAATGATGTTTTTTAAATTAAAACTTAAAACTTCCTGAGCTTTGCCATTCGATTGTTCTCTGCTACATAAGCTCATCCCTTTCCCTAGGCTTGTCAATTTCACTTTTTCTGGCAATGACGGCAGAAGTAAGGATGGTCCAGAACAGTGAGGTCATGACAGAGACTTCTTGGTCACATTAAAAGGAAGAGATTTCCAGGGACAGCTCAGCCCCAGCCCTTGCCCCAGAGCTGGGCCAGAAAACAACCCCACCTTCATGTTGGGTCCTTACAGAAACAACAACCAGTCAGTTCACCCACCACGTGAGAGGCACAGTACAGTGGCTTTACCTAAGTAATGATTAGTCATTGCAACAAGCCTAGGACGGGCACAATAATTTATCCCCCTTTGTTGGGATTTCCGGTTTGGTCAAGTAACTCGCTCTCATGACACAGCTTCATGCGGCAGAGCCAGGATTTGAATTCAGACCTTCTGGCTCCAGGGACTGCCTGAGACCTGACTACACATATTACCCCCTGGGAGGACAGGATTACTCCCCTATCTTTGTGGTGGTGTTACTATGTTCACGAACCAGAAACTTTAGACTCATTCAGTTTGACAACAAAGTTAGACTAGCTCTCAAAGCCCCCTCCCCAACTCCCTCATCCAGACCATCTATTTCACAAACCTTGCTCTTGGACAGCAAAAACAAAAGGCACATAACTAGTAAAAAAGTGACCCACAGGGCCTCCTCGGTGGCGCAGCGGTTGAGCGCTGGGTTGCGAAGCTGCCCGCAGCCTCTGCAGCACCGGTTCGATCCCCAGCTGCTCCCAGGCCGCCGGGGGAGGGTCCCACATGGCACGCAGACCTCTCCTGCCGCCCGCTGCTCCCCTCAGCAGTGTACTTTGGTCCTTCTGCCTGCTCTGCTCCCCGCTCTGGCTCTGGTGAATTCTCTCACCCTCCCGTGCTTCTGACTGTACCCAGTGCATGTATAAATAAATAAATAAATAAATCTTTGAAAAAAAAAAAAAAGTGACCCACAAAGTTAACTTCAAGGTTAGAAAGGATGAAAGAAACATCCCCCTGGTCTTGCTCCCTGTCAACCTGCAGAAATGCCAGGGTGAAAACAGGGTTGGGAGGACGGGTGCAAAAATTCTTCAGAGGCAATTCCACAGTGAGGGGAACAGGCACCAGGAGGGTGGCGGGCCCTCCAAGCCGGGGCTCATCCCAGCCAGGGCAGCTGAGAGGCTTCCCTGAGTCACTCCCATCTCCACACACAACACCCAGGAATGACTTAGCATGCAAACCAGGCGATGTCTTCAGGGAAAGGACTGAGAATGTGCAACCAAGTCAAGGGACTAAACTTCACAAACACCGAGGACAAGCTGTCCACCGCCAGCCCCTCGCCCTCCCAGCCACCCCTTCCCTAGAGGGTGGGAGAGAAAGGGGTGCAGTGGGAGGGCAGAGCCACAGCCCCCAGACAGGCTCAGCCCTGAAGGAGAAGAGAAGGGTTGCAACACGGGCCAGAGAGACCTCAAATGAACTAGAAAAAGAAATGAAAGGGGCTGGACTATTAAAAAAAAAAAATTAATGTAGGAAGCAAGACCCAAAGAGGGAAACAGAGGGACCCGGACCCCCTGGGGACGGGGTCAGCCTGTCACTGGGCACTGGGCGTGAGTAGGGAAGACAAAGAGACGGGAGAGCTGAGGGTCCCCGGGATCCAGGGAGCTTCCGGGGAGCCGGCGGGGCTCGGGGCTCGGGGCCGGCAGTCCGGAGCGCGCGCGGCGAGGACACTGTCTGCGGGGCCGGGGTCGGGGACGAGGCCGGCAGCGGGAGGACGGGGCGCAGGGGCCGGGATGCGGACTCGGGGTGCAGGAGTTAGGCGGGACTGAGACACCAGGGGGTCTGAGAAGTGGGGTCCGGCGCGAGGACCGGGAGGCGCGGGGGGCGGAGGGGTCCGGGGCTGGCCGTGACCGGCGGGCGGGTCCCGGGCTGGGGGTGCCCGAGACCTGCAGTTGCGGGGGGCCGGGAGCCGGGCGACCCGGGGCCGGGGGTCGGGGGCCCGGGCGCGCCGGGACGCGGCTGCGGGGACGGGACGGGGGCTCGGGCCGGAGTGTGCGGCGGGCGCGACGGGAGCCGGGACGGCCGGGCGGGCGCCGGCGGCCAGGCCGCCACTCACCGCTCATGGTGCCGCTCCCGGCCGTGCCCGCGCCGCCGCCGCCGAGCTCCAGACAGGCCGGGAGCGCCCGCCCCGCCCGACGCCCCGCCCCGGAAGTGGCGCCGCCGCCGAGGCCCCGCCCCCGACCCGGAACGTAAATACGCGGCGCCGGCGCAACCCGGGGGAGCCACCGCGGCCCCGCGCGACCCCGCCGACTCCGCTGACCCGCCGACCCCGCCTGGGCCTCGACGGCGATGGCCGCCCAGGCGAGGGGGCCGCGTCCCGGGGGCGTAGAGCGGGGACCGGCGGCCCGTCCCGGAGGAACAGGAGGCTCTGGGAGGTGACTGACCTGGGACAAGGGCCCAGGTGATGGAGGGAGAGGGTGGGAGGAGCCTTGGGAAACTTCCAGAAGCAGCAGCAGGTGCACACGCCCTGCTCGGAGGGGGCCGCAGCGAGGGGATGGGTGACGGCGGGTGCGAGAGAGCCCCTGGGGAGGTGGAGGCTCGCGCAGGCCACGGCGAGGGGCTGGACTGCCCCCCCCCACGCCCGACGCCCCAGTACGGAGCGGAGCGCACCGCAGAACAGAAGCAGAGAGCGACACCGACACCATCGAGCTGGGTGTTAAGGCGATGACCCTTCTGGGTTGAGAGTGGCCACTGCAGTTTTCTAGCAAGTGATTAAAGTACCAGGAGCTGGGCCTTCCTGGTGGCGCAAGGGGTTAAAACACAACCTCTGAAGATGTCCGCAGCCTCTGCAGCAGGAGTTAGATCCCCCGGCCAGCCAGGGAGCTACCCACATGGCGCAGCAGACCTGTCCTGTCTCGCCTGCTGCTCCCCTCAGCAGTGCATTTCAGTCGATCTGCCTGTTCTGCTCCCCACTGTCTCTGGTGAGTCCTCTCACACCCCCACACACACCTCTGGCCTGTACCCCAGTTCTTGTATGCATAAATAAATTAATCTTTAAAAAAAAAAAAGTACCAGGAGCTCGCGGAGTGGTGGCTGTGGAGATGGAGATCATGTGTTCACAAGAAGCTTATGCAGTCCAGTCACTGCCCCATTGGACAGATGGGGAAGGGGATCCGGAAAGGTTAACGGAACATTTTCCCGGCTTTTTTTGCCCACAGCCAGAGTGGGGAAAAAATACAATTTATGCACGTTAAACACGTGTATACACTTAAGGAGATGTTAACAAGACAATTTTGTAGGTAATGTGTTCTATTCTTTTTTTTTTTAATGCCAACAGAAATTGTAGATCCACTAATAAGTCTCGATCTACAGTTGAAATCTGAGTTGAGGACCAAGCCCCACTGGGAAATCCAGGCAGAATTCTGGCCCAGTTCTGTGTGACCCACAGTCCCGTGGGCTCTTCCCACATTGCCTCTCAACACAAGTACTCTCTACCCCCCCCACCCCAGCATTAATTATGATAGTAATTAATAGGAAAACACCAAAGGCCAACAGTTCTGCAAATCATGGCCCACCTCACTTTCATGTTTCATGTTTCACGTTTCATTGTCTTGCTGTAGTTAAAATGCTAAAGATTAAGGAAATAATTTTTTAAGTGCCATACAACATGGTCTGTACAACAGGATTACAATTGTGTCAAAATACAACCATGTTTATGGAATGTAAAAATGCAAATATTTGCATGTGTGATTGCTGAAGTAGTTTTTCCCATTTTCCAAATTGTACTTCACAGTTGTTAAGGAATCCTTAGACCTTAATTCCCCCCTTCCTCCCCCAAGCCTGTTTCTTAGGTCTGCCTGCCTCTCTAAGCTTTGGGAGGGCATCCCATACCTACTTCATGGAATTGTCTTGAAGATGATAAATTCTGTCTCTCCGCATCCCAGACCCTTTCTTCACAGCACTTGACGCAGAATAAATGATTGAAATCTTAATTGTGCTTTAGGTTTGGTTTTGTTTTGACCACCAGCCACACCCTGTAAGGATTATAATTCCTCTTTCCAGGACTTTAGTCTGGAGGACCAAAAATCAAAAGCCCAGGTCAATAGCTCTTCTGGTCTTTGAAAAATATACCTCTAGGAGATAATACTAGGGGGTAAGGAGAGAAGAAAGAGGCCCCTCAAAGAGCCTGAAGCAATTTCTAAGGTCATTTAACAGGAAAGGCATGTGCACCTGGCCTCAAAGAGACCAACCTTCAGAGGAATTTACAAAAATCATCAGAGCAATAGAAACTAACACAAAGTACTTATGAATCAGATAAAAGAACCTTAGAAGTAGATATACTATTATTATCCCCATTGTGAGGTTAACAGGTCAGGAAATGAAGCATAGAGTGGTTAAGTAACTAACAGTCACCCAAGGCCTTTAACTTCCTGGTAACAGAGCCAGGATTCAAACCTAGGCAGTTTGGTTCCAAGGGCAATGCCTTAACCACTATACTGTCTCCTGTGGCCCCAAAGGATGACATGCATGTACAGAAGAGAAGTAGCTCGGCCATAGAAGTGTATAACTATAGGATCTACACATTACAATGCTTTCTTTTTCAGCTTTTCAAGCATTTAATCAAGAAACCAAGGAAGTTCCCAGAGAAGCTCGCAACAATAAGATAGAAAACTGTATATGACACAGTTTCCAGAATTAGAGGACAAAAAAGCTGTATCAGCAACTGAGAAGTACAATCATCCTAAAGAGATCTGCTCCATCATCCTTTCCTTCCAACGCAAGGTTTTCAGAGTAGCTCTATACCAGTGGAGATGGTTCATTAGTAGAAATTGATTTCTCCATCCCCATGACATACTGCCCCTGGCAGGCTATTGCAGTAGTCATTTGTTTTCGTGGTGACAAGAATGGTTGCGCCTTCTTCCATGACTGGGAACGGAAAGATATGATCAGATTCGGCCTTCACTTTGCTCTTGACACAGTCTTCACAGGTACAGTCCTCTACTGTGTACTCCAGGCCGCTGGAAAGGACTGCAGTACCAGTCCTGCCAGACTCCAGCTCAGCAGCTTCAGCCTCCCGGAGAGCCGGTCCTGATAATACAGAAACATTAACTTAAACTGCCCAGGGAGTAGCAGGACAGCAGTTCACTTCAGGACTTAGTGTCAGAAAGATCCCCTACAGGGCCTCCCCGGTGGCGCAGCGGTAGAGCGCTGGGTTGCGAAGCTGCCCGCGGCCTCTGCGGCGCCGGTTCAATCCCCGGCTGCTCCCCGGCCACCGGAGGAGGGTCCCACATGGCGCGCAGACCTCTCCTGCCGCCCGCTGCTCCCCTCAGCAGTGTACTTCGGTCCTTCTGCCTGCTCTGCTCCCCGCTCTGGCTCTGGTTAATTCTCTCACCCTCCCGCGCTTCTGACTGTACCCAGTGCATGTATAAACAAAACAAACAAACAAGCAAACAAATAAATAAAGAAAAACATGCCTCTATTAAAAAAAAAAAAAAGAAAGATCTCCTACAAAACAAATAACTGCCCTCCACTGCCAGACAGACCACAGGCCACATGGGCATCAAAGACATGCTTTCAGCAGAGCATACAGTGTTTTTAAATGTCTGCTTATTTGTTTTATGTTGTCCATTTAAAAATCAAGAGATTTTACATGCAAATCTAGAGAACCAGCTTCTTAAACTCAACAAAATGTGACAACACTGACATTTATTCCTATGTAGTTTGCTAGATTTGGTGGCTCAGGCTGGTATCTCTGCAGGCAAGAGCATGGGCCCCTCTGTTGCTGAAGTCTTCACCTGGCCACTCTCTTCATCTGTTAACCCTGTCTACCTTGGAGGTATTGAGGCATTAGCCCTATGATACATACGTGAAATGACACATGATGTGTGTTACAGCATACTGAAATCAGCCTGTGGGTGACGCTTTCGAATTCAGAAATAAACAAGATCCTATAACAGAGCTTTTTGCAACAGGTTAAATTTTTTTTTTTAAAGATTTATTTATTGATTGATACAAGCACTGGGTACAGTCAGAAGCGCGGCAGGGTGAGAGAATTCACCAGAGCCAGAGCGGGGAACAGAACAGGCAGACTGACAAAGTACACTGCTGAGGGGAGCAGCAGGCGGCAGGAGAGGTCTGTGCGCCCTGTGGGACCCTCCCCCGGTGGCCAGGGAGCAGCCGGGGATTGAACCGGCGCTGCATAGGCTGCGCCAGCTTCGCAACCCAGCGCTCAACCGCTGCGCCACCGGGGAGGCCCAACAGGTTAAATTTTTTCACATGAATTTCTAAGAATCTCCATTATATTCCCATTTTATCTATATATAGCTATAGCTACATCTATATCTATATAGATGAAGCTAAGTTTTACTACTTCCCCAGCCTTCTACCAAAACATCCCACTTAAAGTTACTCCCTGACTGTCCATCAGGCCCCAAGCAAAAAAAAAAAAAAAATTATGAGTAAATTATATAGAGCAACCACCTACCTACCTCCCCCTGCTGCACCGGAAGGCAAATGAGGTAGATGCTTTGCAGATTGTGTGAGGAAAAATAAATGCATAAAAAAGAGCACAATGGCTGCTAAGTGCTTTGGGATCAGCTCAAGGGCAAAGTGCTGCAGAAATATTTTGATAGCAAGAAACTCTAAATATAGCAATCACTGCCCAGGCCTGGTTCTCTACTGCTTAATAAAGACTCTTTTTTTGAGATGATTGCTCAAACAATACAGGAGCAACTGATTATTCATTTCTAATGCTTTAAAGTAAAATGTTCACCTGAGCAAACAGTGTTTGCATTAAAAGCATGGCCTTGGCTCTTGCCAAATATACTTTTCCTGAGAGAAGCAGGCCTGGCTAGCAGTTTCTGATAGCTTGACATTTAATCAGTGAGCTAACTTTAGAGAAATGGATGTTTCCCCAAGGAAGCCTCAGTACTGCAAAAGAGTAATTATCAAGTGAGGAATCTGGGGGGAGGTGTCTGTCAGACACCTGCAAAGAAGGTGCCAGCACCAAAGAAAACAGCTCCATCCACTAGAAAGTTCACAATATAACATATTAAATCATTATGCTGTGTAGGTGAAATAAATATAGTGATTTATGTCAACTACATCTCCACAAACAAATAACTTTCCTCTAACATACTCAAAAGGACTCTATTCAACGACTCCCTGGTGGCTCAGGGGTTAAATTCTCAGCACTATCAAGCTATCACCAGCTACTGTGGCCTGAGTTCAATCCCCATCGGGGAGCTGACCCACCCGGTGCAGCAGACCTCTCCAGTCTTGCCCACTGCCCCCCTCAGCAGTGGATTTCAGTTGATCTGCCTGTTGTGCTCCCACTCTGTCTCTGGTGAATCCTCTCACCCCCTGCACCTCTGACCTGCACCCCAGTTCTTGTGTGCATAAATAAATAAAAATTATAAAAGGACCCTAACCAAATGAAATATTCAGTGTTTAACAAGAAAAGGAACTGAAACTTTCAGTAGCCACCTCTTGGAAATAGATTTCAAAGATTGCCCTTCAGGGCCTCCCCTAGTGGCGCAGGTGATTGAGCGCCGCGCTGTGGAGCTGTTAGCCTCTGCAGCACCGGTTCAATCCCGGCCAGCCAGCGAGGGTCCCACATGGCACAGCAGACCTCGCCTGTCTCGCCCGCCGCTCCCCTCAGCAGTGTACTTCGGTCCTTCTGCCTGTTCTGCTCCCTGCTCTGTCTCTGGTGAATCCTCTCACCCTCCCGTGCATCTGGCCTATACCCTGGTTCTTGTATAAGTAAATAAATAAATCTTCAAAAAAAAACAAAACACAAAGATTGCCCTTGAAACCCACCTATGTTTTTGAAGTCCTTCTTTAATGGTGCAGATTTCATCTTCTTCAGCAAAAGCTTCACAAAAATTGTCAAAGAAACTGTCAAGCTCAGGCCCAAACAGGTCCAGAGAATGGCATTTGTTATTTTCACTGAAATGAATGTCAGAAAGAGAACAAGCTGATAACATCCACATGCAAGTCTACATTATTTGCTCTTTAATTCCCCAATTCATCAGCATTAACTTTTCAATTCTAAGCACTTAATTAGAAGAGTTGATAAAAATCTGTTGCTAACAGTGCTGAATAAAATTGAGTTCAGTTCTGAATAATTACTTTGTTCCTATTGGCATTGAAATAATTTCCTTGTTCCTTTACTTTTTTGCATTTGGAAAAATTTCACCATCTTCCCTGTAGTGTTGATTTGTTGAATAAATCAACAGCGGATCTAGAGAGAACACTGCATACCAGTGAGTAATTGTTCCAGCCTCTTTACTTACTTGCATTACAATGACGCTGACATGTCAGAGGAGGGGTATTGGAGCATCGAAGGTGACACGGTGTGCAAGCATTAAGCAAATTGTCAAAATACTCATTTTGGAAGCACTGCTGAGCCATCTGGAACTTGATCTGAAAAGAAACGAGGAAACCACAGAAAGAACAGCATGGAAGGACAAGGAAAATCTCGTCAGGAATTCCCCAGCAACTGTCGTGACAGCAGCTAGAATGTCGAAGACAAAAAGAAGAAATTCACGTCAATGACTTGGTTCCTTGGAGGGGGATCCTTGTGCCCTGGCTAAGGATTTGAATACCAACACCAATCCAGTTTCTATGTTTGAAGCCTGTGTGGAGTTAAGAGTGTATAAATATCAAGGGCAAACCATACCTGAAACAGAAACTGCTTATTTATAGATGAAATTTCTCAGCCAGGTGATAGTTGCAAGATGTAGACAACTTGAGGCATCAGGCAGAAGGTTCAGGAACCATTTGGGGAACATCTGTTTCTCAGCCCTGCTGTGTGGTGGGTTGCCCAAGAGACGAACAAGACAAGGTCTATACCTCTCAAGCATTTAAAATCTAGCAGGGGAGGCAGAAATTCCCTCAAGTAACCCCAAGAGAGAGGTATGCATACCAGACTTAGCACCTGCAAGAATTCCAGTACCACTGACAGGGAAGTCTGGGGTAAGAAATTGGCAAGAGGAATGGGGGAAGACAGGTTTGGAGTATTTATTTACATTTTGTTACAATTTTTACAGTTGAAGTAATTCATGTTTCACTGTTTAAAATTTAGAAAACACAGATGAGTTGTTACAAAGTGTCCAGAGTCCCAGCATGCAGAAATAATCACAGTTAACATCTAGTATTACAGAGGTTGCAAACTGGCTGGTTGGTGTGTTTTGTTAGTCAACCTCTGATAGGTATCTTGCTGGAAGGATATCTACGGAAAATATTCCTAAGATGATAGATAGGTGGGTGGGTAGGTGGATAGATGTGTGGGTGGATGGGTAGATGGATGGATGGACAGGTAGGTAGGTAAGTAGGTAGGTAGATTGATTGATTGATTGATTGATTGATATGGCACCTTTTCCTTTTGAAATAAACAATCACTTCCACTTGCGTTTAAGCATGCTGACTGAGTGAGATACCCCTATAAAGATACCCAGTGAAGCCAGTCAGAAATGCAGGACTCAATTAAAATGCAAGGAAATAACAAACTCTGAACCCAGCACAGTGACCGGGCAGGGAGGGAGGCTTCACCTGTATTGATCATCTTGGATTAAGCTGAAAGGTAGATGCATTGTTATTTGTTGTGTCGTTCTTTTATACTTTTTGGTTCTTTATACCTTTTTGTATGTCTTAAATAGTACATAATAATAAAATAGTGATAATAAAATTAATTAAAAACAATACTTTTTTTAAATGAAGGGCTTGAGTCTGGAAGATGTTTGAACTTAGATGTGATCAAAACTCACCGTCCCTATGGGATCCAAGGAGTGAGGTCACAGGGTGTGTCTGCCTGGATGACAAGGAGGAGCTAAAAGGGTTGCCCAGCAGGCTCCACTCCCTCAAGCTCCTGCCAAATGTTGACCTTTGCAAGACAGACAAAAGACACAGGAAAAGCATGATTAGAGAAGTAGGAGGAAAAATTCTGCCTGTAATCATAGTCTCCTGTAACAGCCAGCCAAGCAAGGAGAGAATCTCAGGATGGGATGGGGAATAGAGTCAAATTCTACAGAAAAGACAGGGGCAGAGCACTGAGAAAGGAGGTCCTTGGTGACCTCTGAGTGTGTCTATGGGAGAAGTCATCTTGCAGTTGTTTAAGGAGTGGGAATGTTATAGGACAGGGAGAGGGGCAGCCCAAACCCCACAAACCTGCCTATTTTAAATGGGTTCTGCCATCCGCCACATCAACAGAAAACATAAGAGACTTTAATGAAAAGGAACTTTAATAAAACTAGGAAACAATACAGGTAAGGCAAAGAATCTAGTTTCTAAATCAAGCACCCAAAGTTACCCATCCCCTCGTGGGTAAAAGTCCATCCAAATGGGATTGGCCCCAAGCAAGTCCCCAAAGCCTGCCTCAAGTCTAAAGCATCTTCCAGTGGGGACCCACAGAAAAGGGTCACAAACAACCGGACAAGCCCGGAAGGAAAAGAGCAAAATCAACATCAAGATAAAAGCTGCCATTGTCACCTCCCCATGGGTCTCACCCACATCTGTGTCACCCAGTCTACGACCAAAAGACAAGCACAGTTTCTTCACGTGTCTCTAGGCTCCATGTGCCTCCTCCAGGTCTCCTGGCTCCATCCTGCTTCCTTCCTTAGTCTCTTCTGCAGCTTCTCCTCCTGCTCAGCTCCACCCTTCCTTGGGTGGGGCAGGGAACGTGGAACCTCCCCCTTTCCTGGGGACCACCCTGTTACAGGAAGAAAGAGGCAGCAGCCTGGTGAATGCCTGGTGAATGCCTGGGCGCCATGCCTGGTGAATGCAATGGAAGCAGGAAAAACAAAGCTCTGATTACTCTGAAAAGACACTGTTGTTTCAGACAGATGCACTGCCTCTGAGGTCATGTGTCCAGGGATGCTCCCTGCAGCATCACTTGTATTCACGAAGGCCAGTCCACCAGTAGACGACTACCTGGCCATCAAAAAGAACAGAACAGGGAAGCATATCACAATATGCAAATGTATCCAAGTCATGTGCTGTACCCTTAAGTTTACATGAAATGTATCAAATTTAAAAAAGAGAGAGAGTAATTGAGGTGGCCACTTGTCCAGCCTCATCTCCCTGCTAGAATGTGGAGGTGACCCCCAAAAGGGCAGCCTCCTGTAACCCAGAGCTAGTTGGAATATGGGTCCTTAGGCCCTAACTGCTGACCACTGGGCTCTCATGCAAAAAAATAGATCTGTATTTATTCCCCAAAAATGAGACTGCTGTATTCTGATATAAAGCATACATTGCTAAGTGAAAATCATGGTATTGAACAGTGTGCATAATCCACCCTGTTGTATTTAGAAAAAAAATAATAATGATTATTTTTCAAATAGAAATTTTTTAAGGTGATGTATGAGTCAACGGGGGCTGCCGTCCCAAAATACTGCAGCCTGGATGGCTTATGGACAATAGAAATTTCCCCCAGTTCCAGAGACAGGGAGCTCCAAGGTCAAGGTGCCACAGATTCTGCATGTGGTGAGAGCCCCGGCCCGGCTCACAGGCAGCCGCCTTCTTAGCATAACCTTCCATGAGGAGGCGCAGGAGGCCTTTCCAGAGTCTCTTTTATAAGGACACCCATCCCCTCCACGGGAGCGCCATTCTCAGAACCTATCACCTCCCCAAGACTCCACCTCTTACGACCATCACAATGGATATTGGATTTCAACATAAATATTTAGGGGGACACAAACATTCAGTCCATAGCAGATGGGGAGTTTGCAGGAGGAAAGTAAGGTGAAAGGGAGGTTCCCCCAAGGATGAACAGCATAGACCAAGGGGGAAAGGACCAGAGCAAAGATGTCAGAGAGAGCAGAGAAGCAGAGTCTGGGGCCCCCCAGCACCAAGGGAAGCCTCCCCCTGGTGTACCCCTCAGCCTCAAGAACATCAAAGCCCTGCAAGATGTTGTTCTTAATCACTATGGACCTCATGCAACTTGGAGAAGCCCAGGATGGCTGCCTCACCTTGTTAGGGTGTTGCCAAGCCTCTCATAGACAGGGTGGGCCCCCAGGGACCAGGGCCGAGGGCTTCACCTTGCCTCGCCCTGTTGCTCCCCAGCACAGTCTTTTTGTGGTCATCTCGAGCTTGAACACAGAAGGCAAGACCTGAGCTGCACTCTGTTGGGGGGCAGCCCACAGAGGATCCCCACAAAAGCCTGCTGAGCTTCCCCACAGTGGCTCAGGTTCCCCCTCTTCCCGAGATTTGTTGTTCTTCTTGTCATTTGTTGTTCAACTCTCTCAGTCTGTGGGCAGCCCTGCAGTCCTTCCAGTAAAGTCCCCTTTTGTCTTAAGTTAGACAGAGTCAGTTACGCTTGGTTTCTAGCAATCCCAAAATAAAAACAAAACCCTTAGCGCTATCACCCAATTCTTAACCAATTCCTCCACCCAGGCCGGAGATGTCACCAACATGCACTGACTGGGGTAAGCCTGCCTTTCCCTTTGCTCCTCAGAATGGGGATGCCTGATTCATTCTGACATCGTAGGTCTCAGCGGATTCTCCTCCAAGACTGGCCAGGAGATGGGAAAAAAGACCAAGAGGAGATAGAGAGAAATGTGCAACAGAGGTTGGCGATGTCATATTCATCAGGATTCTTTCCATGAGAAATGACATAAAATGTTAAAATGGAATTTTTCTGGCTTTATAGCTCAGAAGTCCAAGGGCTGCATCAGCTTTAGAGGCTCAGGCTATAGCTGACAGTGACCTGGTTTCTTCGGTCACTTGGCTCGGCAATGTCGTCTTCTGGGTCTTGGTTCCATTCTCAGGTCCTCCCCTCATGGCCACAAGAGAGCTGCAGCACATCCAGACCTCACACACTCATTTCTTCTAATCTCTCCCTCTAATAATCACATCTGCGCCCTGTCTCATTATGGCATGTGGCGGTGGGATGAGAAAGGATTACTCAGAGTCCATGTGCAGAGCAATGAGTGAGAGAGTTGAACAACAATGAGAAGGTGCAGTCCCGCTCCAAGGGCAATCTTGTTTTTATTTAGAATCAGACAAAATAAAAAAGATCAAAGAAGCAAGCAGGCAAACAGGGATTGCACAAGTGTGTGGGGGGTGCGAAACCAGCTGGCCCCAGCCAAGGTTGAGAAATAGGGAGAAAGTCAAGGAAAGCCTCAGTGTTTATGCTGCTCTAGCCATAACACCTATTGCTGTTTCTGCACTTGCTGTTTTCAGCATGTATGGATCCTCACACGAGGACTTTTGCCCTGAGAGGTTCTTTATCAACTTTCCCTGTTTCTGCACACTGAGAGGCACAGAATAGACAAAGCAAAAAATAATCAAGGCAAAGACACAGAACAGTTGAGGTACATGAATAATCCAAGCTTCCACAGCTCCTATGGTTTTAAATGTGCTCATCTCTAAGCCTGTTTCTCCAACTCCAGCCTCACCCCAGAAATCCAGACCCATCTACCAACTGCTGACATGCCATGTTCACTTCCAAGTCTGCGAGGAGTCTCTACCTTGATTAAAGGACATTTGGATTCTCCAAAAGGGAGTGTATATTTCCCTTGTCAAACCTATTTGGCCATACGCTGGAAGGGATCATGCTCAGCGAAATAAGCCAGAAAGAAAAAGAAAAATACCGGATGGTCTGACTCATAGCAGGAATCTAGAAAACTTAAATAAGGAACCAGGAAAATGAATAACTGTAAGAAAGTGAAAATCAAAATCAACAAAAAACTATGAACCAGAGACACTCTATGGGGCTTGAGGGGCGGGGAGGGGAGGGATTGGGGTCAAAATAAGGGGGTTGCAACTGTATGGGGAATATAAAAATAAAATCTATTTTTAAAAAAAAAAAAACCTATTTGGCCATAGACACCCTCTCTTCCTTATACCCCAGAGTTATATTAAAGTTTTGATGGTGAGACAATAAAATTTTAAAAGTCCTAATAATCCCTTCCTTCAAGGATCACCTACAGACATTTAGGAATATAACTTTTATGGGACACAGTCTGGGAAACAATTGGCCAGATTATCTCCACTGTTCCCTCCAGTTCTCAGCCTCTGACTTGGGGACTTAGCAGAGCAGTAATAAACAGAAGGAGGATGGGTTTTTAAAGGATTATTTTTAAAAGTTTGACATAATTTGTCACTGAAATAACATCCCCACAGGAGAACTGGGTCTGACCTCGCTCTGCCAGACAGAACAGTTGAGGTACATGAATAATCCAAGCTCCCACAGCTTCTATGGTTTTAAATGTGCTCGTCTCTAAGCTTGTTTCTCCAACGCCAGCCTCACCCCAGAAATCCAGACCCATCTACCAACTGCTGACATGACACATTCTGCCATACTGCGTCAGCCTCAAGCTTCAGCACTCACTCACAGCTCTATAGAAGCAGAGAGAGGTGGCCTCAAATTTCCAAAGTCAGCAACATGTCCTGTGAGGAAATCCCCACACCGCTAAAAGGTTCTATTCTGAAATTACCAAACTACAAGTAAGTTTTCCCAAGAAACTTCAGCTCTTAACTCCAAACCAAAAAGACCCAATTTCTTCCTAGGACTTCTGTAGATTTTTTACTCAGAAAAGGCAATCTAGGCTTCTCTATAGAAGCCTGAATAATAATATACATCTCTATGCCTATATCATTTGTTGTGTTTTCATTTGATTCTTTGAATTTTCTCGTATGTCCATCTACAGAGAGAAAGATTATAAGAAATTGGTTCATACAGTTCTAGAGACTGAGAAGTCCTAAGATTTGCAGTTGGCAAGTTGGAGACCCAGAAAATCAACATGTAAGTTCCAGTCTGAATCTAAGGCCTAAGAACCAGAAGAGCCAATGATGAAATTCTTGTCCAATGACCAGGAGATTCAAGATATGAGAAGAACCAGTGTTTCCACTTCAGTCCTAAGGCAGAGCAAGATTGATGGCCCAACTCAACAGACTGGCAGGAGGAATTTTCAGGGTGAGCCCTGTGATATTTTGTTAAAGCAGCCTGAACAGCCTAAGATATTCGTGAATGAGATAGGTGCTGCCTATGGGTGCTTTTTGTTACTGCGACATAGCCTGACCTATCCTGACTGATAGGGAGTCCAAAGCCATGCTACCAGCCACTTACAGTTCTGCCTTTTCATTCCCACTAAACACTTCTTTATGAGAACTAAACATTACATACAATTTTGTACTGCAGTTCCAAATGAAAGAAACCCCCAGATCACACAAAGTAAATAAGACATGAAGAAACAGCAAAAACTAAGCCAGAAACAGAGGTCCCCCTGGCCCACCCATAAAGTCCAGATGGTTTAGTCTCTCCTTCAACTTGAAGCAGAGCCTGAGGGAAGTTGGCCTTGTGCTAAGGGGAGTTGGAAGAAATGAAACAGCTCCAGACAGGATCTAATGAAGCCCAGAGCTCAGAAGCCCTGCTGAGTGACCCTGCAAAGGTAGATCCCAATGCCAAGATTTCTTCCTCCCTCCCTTTTCTCTTAGATCTCTGCACATACCTCAGAAGCCTTGTTTGCTTGTGGACATGAAAAGGCTAATTTCATGTGGGGCTGAGACTCAGGGCGCTCTGCTCATTTTCCAAGAAGGTTCCCTTTGAAGACAGTGCCTCTGAACTCCTGCCTCCCTTCAGCTCTATCAGAAACACCCCATTCTCTCAGCTCTTTAGAAGTTTTCAAAGGGGCTTCAGTCAGATTTCCAGGGTGTCCATACTTCTGGCAATCACAGTCTC